CACACACACACACACACACACACACACACACACACACACACACACACGCACCCCCTACAACAAAAGCTGGCTAATACTAACTACATCACAGAGGTAGCAAGCAAAGTGCCATGTGAAGTCTGAGGAAGGAAAAGATCAATGCTGCCTAATTTGGAAAGGAAAGGGAAAAAGATGAATAAAAGGGAAGACTCCTTAAAGGAGACAGTTGAATTAATTTGTGCACATCGGATGTGCAGCAAGAGCCTACAGGATATCATAAGCAAAGACATAGAGGTGAAACAACACCAGGAGTTTATATCAAGTTGTTCAGTCCAGTTAAGAGTGTAGAGAATAAAGAGGAGAGTGGTAAAAAAAAAAAAAAAAAAAAAAAGAAAGCAGGAAAAGTGAAGTGGTCGTTAAGCCAAAGAGTTTGATGTTTATCAGTTGGCAATTAGGAGCCAAGGAAGGGCTTTGGGCAAAGGAGTAGCACTATCATATTAATGCAGAGGGCAGGTAAATCTGACAACCAATTGACAAAGGGTTTCATCAAGAGAAGCAACAGAGCTAGGACGGATGATTAGGTGGTTGCTGCAATAGTGTAAGCAGGTGGTAATGACAGCCTACATTCTGGCAGCAGCAATGGGAACAGGGAAGAAGGGATGCATGCAAGCTATTTGAGAGATGGAATCTACATAACATAGTAACCGATTACAGAAAACAGGTGAAAGAAAGGGAAAAGTAAAAGATAACACCAAGGTTTTCAACATGGGAAACTGGGCAGTACAGTGACAGAAATGATCACATGGTAAGGATTAATAGGCTTAAGGGGAAAGATAAGCATGATTGTGGACATGTCTACAGGACAACCAGAGTGAGATGTATGTCACTGATGGTAGAGTCACCAGAGCTCAGGTGACAAGTCCAATTTGGAAATCAGATATTAAGGTTAAGAAGCCACGGGAGTGCCAAAATTGCCAAGGCAGAAAAGGAAGGGAGAAAAAGAGGGCACAGGTACACAATTTAGAGCTGGAAGCAATCTTGGAGGTCATATGGATCAAGCGCCTCAATTCAGACTACAGGAAATTGAGGCCCAAAGAGGAAAGTGGCCTGCCCAAGGTCACAGAGGACCCCAAATGCAGTGCTCTTAACCATTACTCCAAACTATGTCTTCAGAACTTACTGGAGAATGCACACACCAAAGATAACAGGACAAGCAGCAAAGGAGAATCGAGCTGAAGGAGCATCGAAGAAGAGGGAGCAGCCAGAGTCAAATGCTGCCAAGAGGTCAATGAGGATAAAGACTTGAGTAAAGCCGTTAGGATTGGGCAACTGGAAACCTTTGCAGAAGAGATGGGAACATAAAGCAGATTTTAAAGTGTGCAGGAAGACAAAGCATCCGACAGAGATCTTTTTCCAAGAAGCTTAGCAATAAAGAGGAAGACAGACAAGTTAGATTGTGACAGAAAGGCCAAAGGAAGACTTTTTTAGGATTAGAGAAACCGTAGTACGTTGCAGTATGAGAAGAGCCCAATAAAAGACATGTTTAAAAAAAGTATTGAGTGAGAGGAAGGGGAAGATTGCTGGAAAGATTCCAGAAAAGGAAAAAGGCATGTGTTCAAGGCATAGAGAGAAGGAAAACCTCCAACATGAAGATTCTGTCATTATGGTGCATTTACTCACCAAACTGATTAAGAAACTAGAGGCTCAGAAAGGATAAGCCATTTGGTTAAGATGATCAAGTTAACTTGTGGCAGAGCCAGAACTAGCACCTAGTTTTCCAAAATCTTGGCCCAGTGAGTTTAATTCACGTGTGTGTGTGTGTGTGTGTGTGTGTGTGTGTGTGTGTGTGTGTGTGTGTGTGTTCAAATCCTACCTCTGACTTAAACACTCACTAGCTGTGTGACCCTGGGCAAGTCTCAGTTTCCTTATCTGTAAAATGGGGATAATAACAATACCTTTTTCCCAGGGTTGTTGGGAGGATAAAATGAGGTAATATTTATAAAGCACTACGCTTTAAAGTTTAAAGCATTATATAAATGCTAACTATTATTATGCTGTACGGGGAGAAACAAGGGAGGAGGAAGAGTTATAGGGTAGAAAATGTATCTGAGTGAATGGATGGCTGGAGTGTATGACCCCAGCAAGTTTACAGATAGGCCAGGAACTAAATAAATGCTATGAACACTGCTCTAAGATTTATTGAAAAGGTTATCATTGAATGAATCACTTTTGAATGCAATACATACCAGATACAAGTATTTACAGGTCTCACTCAGAAAGAAACTTTCCATCCGGTCCTCTTTTGATTTGTCTATGACATGATGTAATGTAGCATAACCACATCTGCAAAAGAATTGTGCTTTTACTCATTCTCTACCTAACCAGTAAAATAAACTTCCTAGATATGGTCTTCTAAGAGATTAATAACCAAACTCCACATAGACAACCACATGAGCTTCAATGCTCTCTATTCTTGTTTGAAAGGGCAGTAAACATACTAATGGGCTAATCTAATGCCAATGGAATGTTCTGCAATATAGACAAGACCCCATTTCATTTTTGGCCTCAATTCTTAACTGTAGTAACAAAAGACTTTTAAGAATTTTTTTTTTTAAAGTCAACCAGAATTTGATTGAGGAACAGTAATTAGGCTATAAGTGGTGGCAGGTTATAACTTGCAAAGTCACCACCAATAAACAGCAAGATGATACTATTGATTGAAGTCTGAAAGTTTACAGACTAGAACTGGAGACTTTATACCATGGGATCTTAGAGTTGGCAAGTACCTTCAAGGTCAACAGACTCACGTTAAAGAGAAAAAACTAAAGCCCAGACTTGTCCAAAGTCACAAAACTGGTTGATTGTGGAGCCTATATTAGGACCCAGGCCTTCCAAACCCTCATGCTGTACTCTTTCAAAGACACTGCCTGCCTCCCCTTTTATTTCCAAATGCAATATAAAACAACATTTCACAGAACAACTCAAAACAGGGCCAAAAAGTGGCCAACAAAGAGAAAGGAAGGAACTTCAAAACTGACTTGACTTTTGTATACTTTTCCAGGCTCTGAAGAATATCCATTCCTACATGGAGGTAAAAGGGATTCTTGGTTGCCTAAAAAGAACAAAAAAAATGAACATAATCTAGCAAAAGAAATAGAAAAATCACCTCAAAACATACATCAGATAGCTTAGAGCACTAATCCTGATCAAAGGAAGGTAGGCACAGAGCAAAAGGAATGTTTTGGGGTACTTCAAGAATATGGAAGAATTGGGGAAAACTCATTTTTTATATATCACTATAACCCACATCTATAGTCTGTTTTGTTTAAGTTTTCAATGGTCTCAGAACATCTTGCTCCAGGGATATTGACTTCTGCTCTCTGGAGAGCACAAGGTCAGGGTTGAAGATAAAAACATAGCAATGCTCAAACACTGACTCCTCATCCAGCATAGGGCAACATCAGAAGCCAGGCTTTTATTACCTTAAAGGCCAAACCCAGGTTCTACTTCTCTTTAAATAACTGGGAAAACAACAAGCAGACAGAACACTTTTTGCCTCCACCTCTGCCCCAGGTACCACCCCCCCAAAAAAGGACACAATCAAGCTCTGCTGATAACAGGAACCAGGCCTTCCAAGAAAGCTTAAAACCAGGTTTTGCTAGAACTCAGAATCACTGACTTTGGAGTCAGGAGATCTTAGAGATCATCTTATCCTCAACATTTCCTCAGTAGTTTCCAGAAAAAGCTTCCTGGCCACATCTGGTTGAGTGCTTTCACCAATAAATTACTATATTTATACCAAGGAACAAGCAGTTAATTTTCTAGTCATTTATGTTGCAAATTAGAGGTCCTATTGAATTCAGACACATGTGTCATTTAGTGTCAAATATGGTATCTCTGCTGTCATTAAATCATACAGATCCAGAAGTTGTAGGTAAAGAATTTGAGAAATGCTGTTTTTAAAATGTCATGGATACACTGGACAATGATTTAAGTTTGAAAAAGTTAAGAACAGAAATGAGGAATTGGATAAAACAAGAAAGAAGAGAATGGAGAGAAAAGATCTAAAAGCTGAAACTCAATAAAAATGACACAAAAGAGGAAAAAACAGACCAATGCCAAGGCCATCAGTTAAATATTATACCTTCACTTTTTACTGATTATAGATGTTATTTAAAAAAAAACTTCAAAAAAAAAAGGGAATGGTGTGGTTATCTTAAAAAATTAAGATTGCTTTTCTTTCTGTTAATTAGTTGATACCCCAAACCAGGGGTGGGGAACCTGCAGCCTCAAGGCCACAATGTGGCCCTCTAGATCCTCAAGTGCCGTCTTCTGACTAAATCCAAACTTGAGAGAACAAATCCTTTTATTAAGGGGATTTGTTCTATTAAGTTTGGATTCAAAGGGCTGCAACTTGAAGACCTAGAGGGCCATATGTGGCCTCAAGGCTGCAGGTTCCCCACTGCTGCCCCAAACCATTACACCAATCATTACTCTTTCCTCTTCCTTGATTTCTCTCCCTCTTTCTTCCACAAGGGAAAAACAGCCAGGATTCCACAGGTGCTGCTGGCTGGACCTGAACCAACCACAGGCTCTCTTTCTCCACTGCTTAGGCAGTGAGTTTTTAAAATGTGTGTATCCTCAGGAAAACAGGATGTCATCGATAAAAAACAAAGTATTCACATACAACAAAATACTTATAGCATCACTTTTTGCGGCAGCAAAGAATCAGAAACAATGTAGATGCCCACCAGCTGGGGATGTAATAGAATATTACTGCGCTGTAAGAAATGACAAATGTGATAAATACAGAAGCACAGAATGACTTATATGAATTGATGATGGGTGACATAAACAGAATCAAGAAAACAATGTACACAATGACTACAACAGTGCAAACTGGAAAAAACAACAATCATAAATCAACGTAAGATGAACATTACAGAATTACAAAGACTAGGCAATAGCACCCAAAATGAAATGAAAAGACATCTTCCCTCATTACTTTGCACAATACACATTACATGTACTATGCACAGGTGTGGAACATTGCACATGTTTTCATATTTTTTAAATGTATTGATTTTTCTTGCTGATTCTTTTTTCTCTCTTTTCCTTTAAAAAAAAATGTCATATAAGATGGTTCTCTGGGAAAGGGAGAAGAGGTTTAAAGGAGAAATTTAAGTGATGTTAAAAAAAATGTCAATAACTTTTAATAAAAGAAAAAAGATTCAAATAAAAACATCAAGCAGGAATCCTCTTGGATTCCTTCATAATCAAGGACACAAGAAAGCTGAGTTTTCTCTGCCTGAATACCTATCTCACGCAAAAATACAATAATGTGGGGGTCTTTTTATTCTGCCTACTATATTTGCTGACAGCCAAAATTTCATGTTAAGCACATGTGCTCTGTAAATATTTATGGGTATATGTATTTATATTGCAATACATATATGTATAAACACACGTACATGTAAATGCATAACAGGTCTCTAGTTCTATGAGAGGAACTCTCCCTCGACCCAGTTAAGCTCCAGAGAGTTATGTAAGACACATAAAGGTTAATTTGCCAAGGGCCAAAAAGTCTATGTTTCAGGGGCTACATATGAAACTAGGTCTTTCTGATTCCAAGCCCAACACTCTATCCACTACAACACACTGTTCTTGTTTGTTCTCATTCTCTCTCTCTCCATATATATATATACATACTTATATGTATATATTCACATACATACATATACACACATGCGTATACATACATACACATATATGCATATGTAATTATATAGGATATATAATCCTATATCATAAAATATAATATATTCTCATATTATAAAATATAACCATACAAAATTATATATTATATAATAATTATGTTGTATATAACATTCTTTATATATCACACCACAAATATTTACTATATATTTACTTATGAACACACACACACACACACACACACACACGTTATATAACCCTGGACTTAATGCAAGTCACTTAACCTCTAACTAAGATGATAACATACAGACAGAGCAGTTGTAGACCCACATTCACAGAGGGAGTTTCCTAAACAAACAAAACCTCAGGCTAGACCATACATATTTAGGTAATACTTTTACATGTCTACTAGACAGATATGTAAATGTTTCCCCCACCCTCAAATGAACTTGCATACCTGGTAAAGGAGATAGGTTGACTCCACCAGCTCTGGTCTCAGAGGGTAAAAGAGGACATCAGGGGCCTGTAGTTGCCAGTTGTACCGCTCTGGGAGGGCACCATATCGCTTCCAGATGGCATAATAAAAGGCGTGAAGGCAGATGGCATCTTCCACATCCCCTATTAATACCTAGAGAAAAGATGGAAGGGCAATTTGATGGTCACTTCCCCCAAGGAGAAAGCTCTTCACTCCAATTCAACAGGAATAATTTTCTATTCTATAAACTTTGCTGCAGCTTATCTACAGACATGGCTGAAGACATGCTGCCAGAGAGGAAGCTAGGCTGGACATCTGAGCAAACAGAATGATTTGGCCTATGCATCCTCATTCCGTTAAAGAGTTTCAAACAGAGAGGCCAGGAAGTTTTCAGAGGTTCTATAAGTGCATAGAGAAGCATCTCAATTGCCAGTTACTGGAAGAATTCAAAACTCACTTCAAATCAGCCTGTGGAGTGCATTTTTGTGCTTATCTGAAAGTGAGAGCACCGGCCATGGTGGGAGGGGGTCATTTCAAACAATGAGAAAGTCATAGTGGGAAGCTTGCTCTTCTAGACTAGGGAGGAACTAAGAGGTTATCTGGCTTCTCTGCTCAATTCCTCCCTGATGACAGACAGCTTTACCACAGCTGATTCTCTGAGCCCATCTACACAAAGCTGCCTCCTCTCAAGCCTCCCTGAAAGCTGGGGGCATTCCGGCTGCAAAGAGCTTCCAAAGAGGGGCAGAAGCGTCACTATGTGCTTTAAAGACAAACAGAGACAGCACATCATCAACAAAGACTTGCTTTTCAGACATAGCAACAGAAGACTCCATCCAGGACCCATATGAACAGACAAGGAAGCAGGCTGGCCATGCACTGCAAGTGAGGGACGGCTGACTCATGACCCAAATACTGAACTGGACAGTAGGAAAGAAACTTGAAGAAGACTTCTAGCAAGCTGAATGGATCCTCTATGGAGGATCTGCAGAAAGACAGGGACAAGAATTGCTGAGGATATCCAGAGGAGGTCAGGGGACAAGATCGGTCCTGGAAACAGGCAAACCCACATAGAGGAGATCTTTTGTTATTGTTGACTAGACCTGTGACCTCATCTATGGACACAGCTCCCAGTGAGAAACTCCCTCCACCAATCAATGCAGATATGCACTGGCTCTGAAACTGGAGTCTTAAAGAGTCCTCTGGAGCACTGAGGGGTTCAGCGACTTATCCCAGGCGACAAAGACAGCCTGTATCGGAGTGGGAGTCAATTCCAAGTCTCCCTGAGATCCACTATGCTACAGGTGAGATTAGAGGTCCAGCACAAACTGACAGGGATAAGGGAGACTGTCTTGGATAGGCTGGCCACTGAAAACCAAGGACTACAAAGCAAAACCTACCTTAAAAAGAACTCAGTGTTTTCAAATAGAACAGGAACAAATACATGCCTGGCACACAGCAAGTACTTAATAAATGCTTGTTTAATTAATTAATAGGTAGCATTAGTCATAGAATCTCAAGCGTTGAAAGGAATCATAGAAGCCACACTGTCCATTCTATTGGCCAGTAGAGGCCTCTGGAGCCTCCCCGACAAGTAGCCTTCTCATCTCAGCTGACCACTCCCAGGGACAGGTAACTTACAACCACCCTATAGGGGCAGCTGGAGTGCTTCAATCCTTCCTTTACCATTCACCCATCATTCCCAGTGACTCTGCCTACAAGTCAAAGTACTCCAAATATCTGAAGAGTGATCATGCCCTTGGGAATTGACTGTCCAGAGGGGAGCACCAAAAACTCTTGTCCTCTGTGGAGAAGCTTTGAAGCTGGCGCAATCTCTCAATGTTTACACACCGATGACTATATGACCAAAGATCTGGTAAATCTGACTATCCAGATTTCATTACCTTGTATACTCTGGAAATTCTCCTGTCTCCTCTCAGCCCCCAAACACACTGAGAGGAGTCTGACAAATTAGATCAAACTAAACTTTAAATGATGTCCAATTCTGTCTCACCCAAAACAGAACAGCCGGGCTCAGCTCTCATTCTTTAATTGTCTATTTTGTGAACTCCCTGCAGGAACCACAGCTTCTCCAGTGGCCCAGTCCAGCTGCCAGAACTACAGAGCTAAGGGGGAGAAGGAGTCATGAGGATAGCATCAGAGCTAAGCATGGAGCGTCCCAAATTTACTTCAGAGACAAATAGAAACTTTTGGTTTACCTGGTTGATGTTATCTATATTTATCCCTTTCCTATTGGTGCAACTAAAGATCTGGCTACATTTGAGAGAAAACAATTCATAAAAAACATTTTTAAGCTTCCCCTACTCCAAGTTGCATCTGCAAAATATTAGCTTCCGAACCCTTAGTCACTGTAAAGGCACTGCCTCAGACAAACTGAGGCCTGGGAAAGACCTTAATTTAGAAAGGCCAAGGTCACCCGCTGCATCTCACGCCATTGCCAGTCATCTTGACTGTCGTGTCACTGGACTTCAATGACTCTGGAGGAGAGAGACAGTCTGATGACTTTGCATGGTTCTGCCTCACTTGAATCCAGCTCACTTGAAAGTCCAGACATCACCCTTGTGATGTCCTTGGTCATCTTTGAGAACGAAGCGTCTAAACTGATCTGTGTTTGATTACTCCCGCTCTGATTTGCTCTTAGGTACAAGCTACTGGCTATAAAGATTAGGGGAAAAAAAAGACCCTAACCAGGACCTAAGCAATTCTCAAAGTTATTTTCCTGCTGGGGGCATCAAATTAGTCCAAGAAAGAAGGAAAAAACCAAAACAAGGAGCATTCACTACTCCAGAAGGTGGCGTTACCTTCTTTTCTTAAGGAACTTAACACAAACCTACCTGCAATCCAGGGAAAAAAGCCTGCAGAGAGTCAATCCAGGTATTCATCAGCTGGCCACTGAACATGTTGACGTTCACATACAGTGGAGGGTCTCCTTCACCTTCATTACAAGCTTCCCGGCTACAAAATTAAACAAAGCAGAAAGGGCTTTAGTAGGCCCCACCATTTCTGAAAGGGACACAATGCTTAAGTTCACTTATCCACTACTTTCCTTTCAAAAACACATCCTTTTGAAAGTAACATTCATACCTGACTATAATCACTTTCTCTAGAGAAAGGAATTCAGTATAAAGCAAATCCAAATTGGACTTCACCCAAGGAGGCTTGGTTATTAAAGTTCAAGGAAGGCAGGTTGTCTTCTCGGGAGGCCTGGGGTTCTAGCTCTGGGTCTACCATTAAGTAGCGGTATGACCTGGAGTCACTCATGGCTTCTCTGAATGTCAAGTTTCCTCAAATCTAAAAATTCTAGAATTGAAAGAGGACCTACCATACATACCTAATAAATGCTTCCCGAATTGAATGTAATCATCCAGGTCCCATGGCATGGACCCAAAGAATGTGCCCTGGAAGCTGTGTGGCACACTAGACTTAAGTCAGAAAACCTGGGATGTGGTTCAGGTTCCTGAACAAATTAAGTTTGTGACCTTGAGAAAGTTATTCCACATCTTTAGGCCACTTAATTTCTTCATCTATACAACGGGGGCGGGGGGTGGACAATATCATCACTAAGATCCCTCCAACTCTGAATCGCTATGATTCTCTGATGACATAAGCAAAGCTCAAGTTTATTTTCCACTTTTTTCCCTTCCACAAACAAAAATTAGCAATCCTAGTCTTCTATGGTATCATATCCTACCTCCAAATACAGTCATTTAAGAGGGAGCTGCTACAATGCCAAAGATAAATACATTATGAGCCCAAGAAAACCTTAAGCACCACACAGCAGGCTGTGCAGTCAATGAGGGTCCAGACAAAATGACATATGTGGTCAAGGAGGAGGAATCAAGGAAGAAAGTCATTAGAGCATGGAGAAGGGAAGAGGAAGGGAATATGCAGTGATACAGCACCGACTATGTGCCAGGAACTTGGCTAAGCATTTTACAAATATTACAAGTCAGCTGAGTCCTCCGCAGCAATGATCTCCTGGCCTGCTGGACCTATATAGCAAGGGACAAGTAACTGTGTAGTACCGAAAAAGAAAATGCCATAGATCACCCAGATAAGCAATCAGAATTACCTAGACTAATCTTCAGCAGCACAAAAGCAAAAAGACCAAAAGGGGTGTCAAGTATAGAAATGGAAGGAGGTGGGGAAAGGGAGGAGGAAGGAAAAGGGGAAGGAGAAAGAGAAAAGAAAGGGGAAAAAGGAAGGGGAAAAGGGAAAAGGAAGGGGGAAAGAATGAGGAAGCTGGAAGGGGGTGGGCAAGAGGAAAGAGAAACAGAAGGGGAAGGGGGTGGGCAAGGGGAGGAAAGAAGGCAAACAGCTTAAGATCTGCAAGGCAATTTCAGAACACCTCTCATTTGTTTTTGCAATAGCCAAAAAGAATTGGGCATTAGACACACATACCCTCTTCTTAAATAGCTCTGAATACTCCGATAGGCAGCATTAAACATCTCTAGGTCATCGTCTTCTCCAAAGAGAATGTAAGATTTCAAGAGGTATTCATAGAAGGAATCCAACCCAGCCCCGAGGCCACTCTGCTTTCCAACCCAGTGGCCTGTTTGGATGTTCACAACATTCCCTGAAAAAAGACACAACATAGGACATTTCAAGTTTCTATTATCTAGCTCTTCTATATCTCAATCACACACTGCCATCTGACCTATCAGGGGTTATCCTAATTTGTAACCAGTGAGAGAAGGGGGAAAACCTTGGTTGTTAAATTTTAATTCAGCAGGTCACAGGGCAACAAACACTGAATTGGGAGTAAAAGGACCTAGATTTAAAAACTAGCTCTGCTACTTGTGTGACCTTGGGCAAGTCACAACTTCTCTGGACCTCAATTTCTTCATCTACAAAATGAAAGACTCAAACCAAATGGCATCTGAGGTCCATTACAATTTTAAACCTAGATCCCAAGTGTCCTATGAGTTATGGCCCTAATTCTCAACTCTTTGAAGCAAAAGAAAGCTACCAGATCATCTGTAACATCAGACTATGCCAATCAGACGACACAACGACAACTGGGGACTATTTGGACTAGTATGAAGTATAAGAGGTGACTAATTTTTTTTCAATGATTAGCTGTGGTTCACAAGTATCCAGGTCAAGGATGACAAAGTCTATATACTTGAGAAATGTTTTACAATATAAAGCATAACATTAGAAATGAAACCCATTTCAAAAATCTACCTTGACCTCTTAGACTACAAAATACACACACACACACACACACACACACACACACACACACCCTTCAGATTTAATTCAGTCTAGTAGTTGAGGATTGAGTTTTTCCCCAGAGGGAGATACCCCTGCCACTGCCAGCATATGTTTAACACCTAATTTTGGACATGCAGAAAATTCTCTCAGAGGCACTTCTCTTTACAGTGTCCTCATTTATGAGTCATTATGATTTATTTTTTAAAAGGAATGTGCTCAGAGAGACGTCACTTCAGAAGAGTCCCGACAGATCTCCCAGCCACACTCAAGGCAAAAGTTCAAGTGGAAAGGAACCAAAGGGGAACCCAACTGGATCCTTACTCCTGAGATTCCAATGGTTAGAGGAGGAGGTGCAGTGAGAAAAGAGAAGTGAGAGGCACAGGGAAGGAGGAAGACAAAGGCAGAAGAGGGAAGGAAAAGCAGTCCCCGTACCTAGGAGCCCAGTGTCATTGCTGCGAAGATTCCAAAGAGCCTTCACTGCCCGCCTGGCCACCCACTCAAACGTCGAGTCCCCCAGCAGCCGGCTAAGAATCCCAAACTCCACTAGCAAGGAGCCAGCACCAGCAGTGCAAGTCTCATTATTGCTGTCAGGGGGCACACCGCTCTTGAGATTCACCTGGAGACAGAAAAGCACAAGGCCACTCAACAAGATTGTCAAGGGTGCGAGGGAAAATTACTAGAAGGCCCTGATCCTGTTGAGCTACATATCCCTGGAATCCACCTGCACCGCCTCCTGAAACAGCAATCCCTGCATACCAAGCAACTCTCAGCAAGGTCAGCACCCACACTGTGACAGTCAGGAAAAAACCATGAACCGCTTATCCTTTGTGGGATGACGTGTCCCTGGCACTCACCTGCGTCTTCTACCCGGTTCTGGTAAATCCACCTCATTTTGCATAAAGGAATATTCTTGGTATGTTTGGAGAAAGGCTCAACTATTCTTAGCCCTACTGGAAAGCACCCTCTTTGCAGGTGGTTCAGCCACCTCTAGTCAGAACAGGCATAAGGCCCCTGGAGATGATGGGCATCCCCGGAGAAGGAGATGACTTGGTATCACCCATGACTGCACCCCTTTCCCTGTGAGTATGACCATGTAACTTTGGCTATTTCTATCCTGGCTGCTTACTTCCTTGAGGTTGCTAGCTGTACCCAGACTCCAGTCCTGGGTCCCTTCCTCCTCCCCTGACCTCACCCTGCTAATAAACTGCTTGCTGAAGCATCAGCTTAGCAGGTCAAGTTTTCATTTAACAGGAATCCTGAACCCCTCCAGACTTTTCCAGGAACACTTGCCTATAGCTCTGGGTCAAATGAGTATGACAGTCACTAGAAGTATGTACAAAGCACAATCAACATTTATGTGACCCAGGGAGAGGTTCCAAAAAGGAAGTTAATGAAAACTCTAGACCTCTAGAGGCTAGGGGAATCATTACAGTGCCACCCGCTAAACTACATTATTCCAGACCTGGTGGATTTCCATAGCTACCATGGCTCTGAGCATGGGGGTCCAGGACAAAGAGGAGTTATAAAATCACAAAGAATTTACAGGGTGTTACTGCAGTGCTTTGAACTCGGCCCCATTTACATTCAACCAGCTTTATTTCATCATCAGCCAGGCTCCAGGCTGTAGCAGTTCTCTTCACAGCCTCAGGGCCTGACTCGCGCCCCCCCACCCCCACCCCCCTCCCCGGCCAGGAAGCAGCTCAAAGCAGTAAAGCTACAAGGAGAGTTCTCATATTTAAATCAGCAGTGAGGCAGTGGATCTGCTGGACTGTGGAAGCCACATGTGAAAGAAACTACCCTTAAGGCCTTAGTTTCCATATCGGTAAAAGGAGGAAGTCAGACCAGCAGGCCTCTAACTTCAGTTCTAAATATATGATCTTTTGAACTTACTCAGCAACCTTTACCTAGAACCTAATGTATGCCGGAGTATGCTGAGGGTCTAATCTAGAATAAGGAGAAACTGAAATCAAGATCCCTAACCCAGGAGACCTTTATCCAGTGAAAGATACTCAGGCATAGGAAATGATTAAGGGACATCCATAGGGCAACACAGGCAAACTTAAACCATAGCATTGAAGGGAAGATCTCCTCGATGTATTATTCTCTAAACTATCCCATTCCCTTTCTCTGCTCTCTACCACCACCACCACCATCACCACCACCTCACCAAAAAAAAAAAAAAAAAAAAAAAAGGTTTTCAAAGAGTAGAAAGGATGTTATATTACAAGGAAAGTCTGAAGACCCAATGCAAAGAGGTTCACCTACCCGAGGATAGGGAATTCCAGTTTTTGTATTTTCAAAGGCAGGGAGCAATCTCAATGCCAGATCTCGAGCCATATGCAACAATTCATTATCATAATCCTTAATTGTCATGTCACCAAAGGGCTGTTTGGAGTCAGTTATTATTCTATGGGCAGAAAGGAGACTTCCAAGGACCCTATTGTGAATAAGAAAAAAACAAAGATACTCTCATGTTATACATGTAAATATACTTAAAACCCAAAGGAATTAGGCCTCAGTTTCATTATCTATAAAAATAAAGTAGTTAGACTGGATGATGTCCACCCTCCCAAGGTGAAATCAGACTGGCAAAAGACTGTATTTTTTATAGAATGGGTCCAGGGTATGACCTGGAGTCAGAGGAATGCACTTGGCCACCTCCTCTGGACATCCATTTCAGGTCTAATGAGACACAACACATTCTTGCTGATCTGTGTCACTCAAGTGGAGAAGAGTTGTTTCATGGGCAGATCACTTCAAAGGATACAAGGTGCCCTGATAATCCTGATCATTTACACAAATGACATTGACCCACCTTACAGGTTCCAATTATTCCTGGGACCAAACAACAAGCATTTAAGTGACTATGCTCCAGGCACAGTGCTAGGTACCAGAATTACAAATATAAAGAATGAAACAATCCCTGCTCACAAGGAGCTTACAATCTAACGGGGGAGGGGAGGGGAGGACAACAAATACATACACAAGTATGTAAAGAATAAATAGAAAGAAATACAAATAAACACAAAGTAGTTAGATGGGGGGTGGTATCAAGAAGGGCTTCACATAGAAGGCTGTGTTTGAGCTGGGTCTTGAAGGAAGAGAGATTGATTACACAGGGCAGAAGTGGGGGGGAGGGCATTCTAGGCATGAAAGACAGCATAGGGCTAGGAGGTGGAATGCTATACATATGGAACAGAGAGGTCAGTTTGGCTGGAGTGGGGAAAATGAAATAATGTCTAATGAAGCTAGAAATACAGGCTAGGGTCAGGCTGTGAAAGGCTTTAAAAAACAAAAAGAGGAATTTATATTCATCCTGGGAGTAAAATGGAGCCACTGGAGTACAGAGAATAAGGGAGCGGCATGGGCGGGCAGAAGCAAGGAGGTGCTTGAGGCAAGAAAACCAATCAGATGGCTATTGCCACGATCTAGATGAGTCATGATGAGGGCTGAACAGACGTGACTGCTGTGTGAGTGGAGGGAATGGATCAGAGGGGAGAGAAGCTTATAAAGGCAGGAATGGCAAGACCGGATAACTGACTGAACATATGGAAAAGTGAGAAGCTGAGGATAATGCTAAGGTTACAAACCTGGATGACTGGAAGGATGGTGGTGAACTTGACAGAAATAGGGAAGTTTGGAAAAAGTGATAGTTTAAGAGGAAAGTTAATGAGAATGAGTTTAGTTTTGAACATGTTGAGTTTAAGATGTCTTTGGGACATCCAGTCTGTAACGTCCAGCTGGCAATTACTGATGAAGGCCTGAAGCTCAGGGGAGAGACCGAGACTGGATCTATTTATTTGGGAGTCAGCTATGTAGAGAAGACAATCGAACTCATGGGAGCTAAGGACGTTATGATACGAGAAAGTATGGCAGGAGAAGAGGGTTTAGGACAGACCTTGGGGTACACAAAGAAGGGGCAAGATATAGAAGAAAAATTAGCAAAAGAGACTAAAAAGAAAAAATCACATGGGTAGAAAAAGAACCAGGAGTGAATGGTGTGATGAAATTCTAAAGAAGAGATGGTATTCAGAAGAGGGTTTGTCAACACTTTTGTCTAATGTAGCAAATAGGTCAAACAGAATGAGGACTTAGAAAAAGTCATCAGATTTGGCAATTAATAGATCACAGAAAACAGAATAAGTCATCTCAACTGAGTTTTGAAGTTGGAAGCCAGGTTACAAAGGGCTGTTGAGGAGTAAGTGAGAGAAGACGTGGAGGCCATGAACACACACAGCTTTCTTCCTAGGAGTTTGATCAGGAAAAGGAGGAAAGATATGGAACAATAACTTCAGGGGACAGTTAAGGTTTTTAAGGACTAGTGAAAGTTTTTCAAGGTGGGGGAAGATTTGGGGAGGTTTGAAGGCCATAGAGAAGGACAGAAGTTGAAGACTTTATTAGAGAAAAGGGATGATTAACCCACAGGTAGGGAGAGAGGAATGGAGGAAAGGTCAGAGTGGATACCATGAGAAGCAAGAGAAGGCTTGGAATAGCTTGAAGGAAGTGAGACAGAAAATCAAATTAGTGAAGAATAAAAGGATTGCCTTGCTGCAGTGAGGGCTGAGATGAAGCTGGGTTACATAAATTAATAATGTACTCAAGGGAACCAAGGTGTGTAATTTCCTCCAGCTCTGTTCACCAGCACATTACAAGTAGGAGCAGAGGAAGTAGAGAGTGGGAGTCCCAGGGCAGGGACGTGGCAAGGGATGAGAAGCAACAGGACAAGGGGTCAACAAGACAAGGGGCAGAGAGACTTGGGAGTTGATGACAGTGTGGAACTGAAAAGGCTAACTATGGACTGAGAACTGGGGGAAAGGGGAAGGAACTGAAGAGAAGGAAGGAAAGGGAAGTCAAAGCAGGGGGAATGGCCTGATGAAACAACAGGGGGAAGAGAGACTGGAGGCCTAAGGAAAGAGAAAATAATAGCAACAGTCAGACAGAGGAATGTCAGAGGTCTTGGTGAAGGACACTTCTAGGCAAGGCTGAGATCCAAGGCATGGCCATCCACATAGATGGCTGAAGTGAAATGACATGGGATTAAAGCCATGGAGAAGGACTGTGGGATTAAGAAGGTCATGGGTATTAAGGAGACTGGGGAATTAGGATATTTAGTCAGTCTGCGGGAACATCAACATGAATGCCAAAGTTTCCCAATAAATGGGAAGAAATAGTGGAGGACAATACTCAATCTTTTTTATTAAAATACTCCTAGTGTGAGCAATAAAGTTTATCTCCATTGAAGCGCTAACATATTTCCCCAAAAATTAAATTCCTCCTCTTTGGGAAGATTTAGACATCCAAGAAAAACAGAACTATATGGTCAACTAAAAAAAAGTCTCCATTACCCAGGACCCACCTAAGGAGCCTGGTTTGGCTGATAAGCAGTCAGTATCCTCTTTACCACTGGGGCAGAACAGCCATAAAAAGGGGAGGGGAGAAATGAAAAAGTGACTTCTGAGGAGATAGGTGTTTTCTAAGTTAACTGGCGTACATCCATGAGCCTAGTGAGTTCTCAGAGTGGGTCTCCTATGACAAAAATAAAAAGGGTACTTAAACTTAAAAAATAACAACTTGGCACGTAGCACTACATACAAGGAAAAACAGGTCCACAATCTGCAGTACTCCTCAAAGATAAGGAAGGCAATAGACAATCAGAGGGGCCTCCCTGCTCTCAGTCTCACAAAGGGCTGGGAGCCAGTCTGAGCTCTGAGACAACAACAGATGCGTCACCTCACTTCTGTCTAAACTCAATTTCCTTAACTGTGAAATGGGGATTTTAATATTTGTCTACTACCCAGGGCTATCATATGGAAATATCTTTGTAAGCCTTAAAGCACTAGAAAAATGAGTTATTATCTATCATGAAAGGAAAACAAGACTGGTCATCAAGGGAAACAATCGAAACCTGGCAATTCTTCAGTGAAATAAACTTTCTTTTTAAAGCAAAGAAAAAATATTCTTCTTATCCCATATTTAGTGAGTTTGAAACTTTTTGCTTACAATTTGTCTACGTTATGTGACCTTTTGGTCACTTCAAAATGAGGCAACTAGGTGGCACAGTAGTTACAGCACTGGGTCTGCAGTCAGAAAGTCTTAAGTTCAAATCCTGCCTCAGACACTGTGTGACCCTGGGCAAGTCACTTAACTGCTATTTGCCTCAAGTTTTCCCAACTGTAAAATGGGGATAATAATAGTACCTACTTCCCAGAGTTGCTGTGAGGATCAAATGAGATAATATTTGTAAAAGCGCTTAGCACAGTACCTGGCACACGGTAGGCACTCTATAAATGCTTGTTCCTTGCCCCTTCCCTTTCCATTCCCCACTTCATAACCGGGGGCACCTTTCATTCTACACACAAAAAAATTTCCTCAATCAATCTTGTTTATGATTACCTGATTGTAGCCTCAAAGACTTGGACTGTGGAGTCTTTGTCAAATGAAACTGTGTTGATCACTAGTTTCACTGCCTTCTGGAACTCTGATGAATTTCCCATTATCTTGAAAGAGGAACATAAAACATTAAAACTGCTTAAATTGAAATGGAGGCTGCAGATGTTTTAGACAGTTGGACGACTCCCACAAGAGCATCTGGATGTGGTGTTGCAATCCACCCAGGCAAAAACAGGACGCCAAGAATTGCAAAGGTCCCATTTATGTAACGTGTCCTAATCAAAGAGCAAATTCATTCTCTCAGGGAGCCCAAGTCCCTTTCCCAAAAGACAAAAGCACAAACTTACTCTCCCTTCCCACCCATCCATTCCCTCCTACTCAAGATCAGTCCCATCAAAAACGCCTAGCAAATTGAGTCCACAAACAAAACAAAAAACTTAATATCTTGCTTCTTTCTCCATAAACTTATAAGTTATGTCTACAGGGTGCCAAATATCTGGCTTATGATTTTAGTGATAAATCATCTCAAAGAATGGGTGGAATTTTTAAAAGCGTTTTATCTAGACATACAGACATCATGAGGAACAGTCGGTTTGGTGTTTTATTTTGTTTGGAGTTTTTTTTTTTGTTTGACTGTTTGGTTGGGTTTTTTGCACACCAATCAAAATACCTAACTCCTTTTCTTAAAGAGTAACCTATAGCAGTCATTTCATGTTGGTATGAAATGAATGGAAACTAATTCAATTTACTAAGAATCCTATGACATTTCAAAGGTGTTACAAACCCAAAAATCTACAGGCATATTCTTTTCCATTCTGGAATCTGGGGGTATGGTGGGCAGAGCAGTGGTATACAGTCAGAGGGCTTAGGTCAGTGTGGAACAAGTCACACAGCTTTTTTTCAGTTTCCTCCTCCATAAAATGTGGATAGTAATACTTGTGTTTGGAGCTCATAGATTGGACAACAATGGGTCCCTGGCCAAGTACCTACTTAAAGATTCTTAGAGGGCCCAGAGCGAAAGAAAATAGTGACTGTTTCTCTTTTGGCCAGCAACCCTGGGGGTCTTCCCCTCTCAGTTTGATTTTTTTTTTTTTTAATTAAAGGGGATATCCCTTGACTCACTTCTTAAAGAGGCCTATTCACTGAATGGACATTACTTCACACTCAAAGTGAGAACTTGAAAAGACCTTAGCTTAAAAGGGCCAGGGTGTCCCATTACATCCCAGGCCATCTCTAGAGGGCTCTGGAGGAGAAAATGAGGCTGGTGACCTTGCACAGCCCTCCTTCACTCAAATCAAAGTCAATTGCAAGTCATGTCATCTTCTCCCTGGTGTCATTGTCCTCTACGAGAACGAAGGACAAAGACAACAAATCATGCAGGGTTATGATGAGACAAATGCTTTGTAAATCCTAAAATCCACAGTATTGTAAACCTTAAAATGTTATATATGGGATGCTACTGTTGTTGTTACTGTTTTGTATTACCGTCTATTTCTAATTCAAGACAACCATCTTCTCTCCCATAAACTTTTCCACCTCTTCCTTTGATCCAAGTCATAAAAATGACTGTTCTTTTCTCAGTTTTCAACTATTCTTTTCTCATTTTCATTCCTGCAATGGTGTCAAAGTCAAATTGAAATGAATCTCTGTGGAAGCATATTGACTAAGAAAACCATAAATTAACATTATCTTTGTTATACTGTATTTATTTTGTTAAACATTCCCCAATTACTCTTTAATCAGGCTCAGGCTGCACTCAGATCTGAAGGAGCTGAGTTTGATACCTCTGCTTTACAGAACCTTAATGATCATCTATTTTAATCTTATTTTACAGATGAGAAAGCTGACCCCCAAAGAAGGGAAGTGACTTGTCCAAGGTCACATCACTAGTAAGTGGCAGTCAGGATTTGAACACAGGTCTCCTGCTTCCCAATTTCATGCACTTTCCACATCAAAATAAAAGAGAAATCATCTTTAATTATCCATGCCACTGCTTTGGTCCATTGTCCCAGAAAACCAGGAATTATCTGGAACACAGCTAGAATCAGAACCCAGGCCCCCCAACTTCCAGTGCTTGAGACTAGGTCCCAGAACTATGCAGCACACTGAAAGTTGCAGCAGTGTCTAGAGACCTCCCCCCAAGATGCATTTGTATGTCCTACAACATAATGGTTACAGACTATTTAACACAATTACCTCAACAGCGAAACTGCACCTGCAAAACAAATATTATTTTAAACATTTAAAGCCCCAATGTTCTACAAAGAAAGCCACCCAGAGTAGAGTTTTTGATTTTTTTTTAAGGGATAACTTTTGTAAGCAAATGCAGATGCGAAAGTATGAACAATCTTAATACAAGGACTCCAACTTAACATTGCTTATCTGGATGGGTCACCATCCCAGGAGAGGTTCTGGGTAGCACCTCCCCTATAAATCACTTTTTCAGAATGATGAAAATGAAGGCCAAGGGAAGCCACAAGGGACTAAAAACAAGTAACCTTTGGGTGGGTATTGTTGGCGAAAGAGGAGATTCAGTAAGTGCTTTAAAATGTATCACTTTTAAAAGTGTATTTCCTTCTCCCTTCCCCTCCACTATCATAACGACATTTATATGATAATAGCTAGCATTTATAAAGCACCTACTAAGTAGGTGCCAGGCACTGTTGTAAGCACTTCACAAATATAATCTCATTAGACCCTCATAACAACCCTAGAAGGTAGGTGCTATTATCATCCTTACTTTACAGATGAGGAAACTGAAGCCACCAAAAGGTTAAGTGATTTGCCCATGATGACATAGCTAGAAGATGTCTAAGGTGGGTTTTGAACTCAGGTCTTCCTGACTCCAGGTCCCTGTAATCAATCCCCTAGACTACCTAAAATGCCTTATTTAATCAATTCTCTATGGCTAAGAGGCACAATAGATAGAGTGCTAGACCTTTGGAGTTAGGAAGACTCATCTTCCGGAGTTCAAATCTGGCCTCAGACACTTACTAGGTATGACCCTAGGCCAAGCCACTGAACCTTGCCTGCCTCAGTTACTCATCTGGAAAATGAGCTGGACAAAGAAATGGCAAACCAACCCAGTATCTTTGCCAAGAAAACCACAAATGGGGTCATGGATTGTCAACAACAACATAATTATCTCATTTAATACTCACAATAAACCTATTAGGTAGATTCTCATAGGCATCACCCCCATTTTCTTTTTTTTTAATAGAAGAAACTGAGGCTCAGAAAGGCTAACAGAGTTGCTTTGTGTTTGGGGTCACACAGAGGCATACTTTAACTCTGATTCCCAAAGTTCTCCTGACCCTCACTTTCAAGTTGCCCTTTCCAACCATCGAGCTCTCTGGTGTCAGCAGTAACTGCCCAACTGCCCAATTTTGTATTTGCTCTTTGTGCGTATATGTTGGTAAGGAAGGCAGCAAGCTCTGGATAATGAGTGGCTCAGGGTCATAGTTAACTATGAAAACTATTAAAGGACACGAAACTGAAATCGTCATGGGTACAGTGGTTCAGTAAAGGGGTGAATAGTAGTGGAGGAGGAAAAAAGCCATGGGGGGCAGAGGGAGAACTAGGCTAGAGGAGCTTATAATTCAACAAAAGGATTCCAAATTCTCCCTATCTCTCCCACCTGGCTGGATATTGGACACCTTTCTCCCAAGCTTACTCAGTTGCAACAGCTTCTAATACACCCCCTCAAGCCTAAGAGTAAATGAGTTTAAACCGTAAGACAGATCAAAAGAAGAACTTTCTGATCATAAATGATAATAAAACAAAAAATGGCACTTTGGCTTTCAGATGGCAAACTATTACTGGAAACCATGGAAGGCAATCCAGCTTCAGAAAATAGGCTGAGAGGGTGGAAAACCTGTTTCCTTTCCTATTAAAACATCACTTCTACTTTATCACTATAAAAGGGTGAAGACTGCCTGGATATAGATCCCATCAGTCTCAGACAAGGTCCTGCCCAAACTCAGGCTCATATGGTTTGCCCACTTGTCTGTTAAACAAGGGCTAGTTCCTTATATAATTTTGAAGACTGGAAGAAAAGTCTCTTCTTAGCACTTTCTTATCAAAGCACAATAGCGGTAAGCTAAGAGAAAAGGGTGTTCTCTCCAACCTAATATATTTAATTTTTAGCACATTCCATATTCTCCTCCCCTTTGAAAAACCAGTTATTTATTTTCCCATTTTCTCAGTTCCCAGAGAGAGCAACAATCTGAATGCATTATCTAACACTGCTACCTTGTATGGTTGTCATCTTGGCTGTTTTCTTCTTATGCTTAAGATATCCTTTGGGAAGAAATAATGAAAGTACTACTGAAAACCAACTCCTTAATTTAGAGTTTTTTTTAAGTAGTTAAGTTAGCCACTTACTGCAAGTGTATCCAAGGCATCAACCAGGGTTAATGAATAGTTTCCTAGAACATCGTTGATGTTCAGATTCGAACTGAAATAGAAACAAAGTTGAAGGTTGTAAGAGTCAAGAATAGCACCTTACATTCATATAGGGATTTATATCTAAGATACAAAACATTTTCACAGATTATTTCATTTGATAAGCACAACAACCCAATGAGGCCAGTAGTGAAAGTACTATTGCCCCCTTTTTTAACGAATAAAGAAACTAAGGCTCAAAAAAATTAACTGACTTGCCCAAGAATACAAAGCTGGGAAGTAGCAGGACTCCAATCCCAGGCTTCTGACAAAAAGCGTAGTTTGTTGTTTGGTTTTTGTTTTTTGTTTTTTTTTTCCATCCTCCAACAAGTTAAGCCAGGTACTTTAAAACACAAACCAAAAACTGCAAGCTTCTTCCAGTCAGGCCACAATCGAAGTTCACAGTACTAAAAAATTCTAAGATGACAGTGTCCATACCAGCGGTACTCACAGTTAATCAACTCTGGAGCCACATTTGAAGGCTCATGGAAAGAACACTAGACAGCAAGTCAGGAGACTAGCAATCTTGTAGTTCCAGGTCTGTCACTAGCCCTCTTTGTGAACTGGGCTAATCACTGGGGATCAGTTTCCTTATCTGTAAAACAAAAATGACTAGACTAGGTCTCCTGGTCTCCTCTACCCCTAAAATCCTGTGATTCATCATCACTATATGTCGATTACATTCTCTAGTCTAATATTCTAAATCAGAAAATTGGATGTCTCTAGCTAGTTACATATGAAAGAACCACATGTCTATCACTATGATTTGGGTATCGCTATTCCACATTTTGATTTCTGGCATAAATATAGCATAATCTCACCGCTGTTTCATCCAGAGTGACACCATTAATTCTTTTTATGAAGATTTTTTCCAAATAGTGGCTAAGTAGAGGGAAGGGTAGTAGGTTGTTGCTGGAGTCCCCACCTAAGTGGTTAAGGTGTAAGGTTTAATAAACATTTGTTGATGGCAGTAAAGATGATCTAGCACCTCTGGTTTCCCCTCGCTCCCTTTTCTACTTGCTTGTTCCTGGATACTTCCAGAAAACTGGAGGTATGATCTACTGATGCAGATACCCCCATCCACTTAAGCAGACCACAGACTACAATCCATTTACTTTGTTATTCTCTGCTATTCTTATTCACATTCTTCCAAAAACCTTCCATTAAAATTTACCAGTCAGAACACTGAATGCCTTCCTGGAAGTCTTTCACCATCCCACAGGGACCAACAGAGCCTCAAGCTGCTCATCAGTTATCCTTGCATCTCACTATACAATCAGTCAATCTTTGTTTCTAACCATCATAGGTTTCCCCGATGAGTTGAAGGGTCATTAAAGTCCTCTTTTGGTGCCCTATCCCTGGGTAGGAATGGAATCTAGGTTCTCAAAAGTAATGCCGGCAGAGCACAATGTCTGCTTAAGTGACTTGCCTAGCATCACACAGGTAGTAAGTGACAGCAGGGATTCAAAGTGAGGTTTTCTGACTCCAAGTTCAACACTTTTCATTATGTCAAAGATCAAGTGATAAAAGATGACAGTTCTGGTGTACCACAAGCAGAACAGAAGTCAAGAGTATAATGCAGCAGCGACAAAAAAAAAAACTAAAGTAATGCAATCTTAGGCTGCCTTAATAGAAATGTCTCGTGCCACCAAAGTTAAAGAACAAATCTCTCCTTTGGGTTAAAGATCAATGTTTTCTAAACATGTACTTGGTGGGGGGCTTAGGCTTATGATATAGACACTGGGGGTTGATTGGAATTGTCTGTGATGTCAGAACAGAACACATTCACTTGGTAGTGTTCAGCACAAGGGAAGCAACAGTTCCTCTGGTTGCCCTTTACCCTATTTAGGCCATTATTTGAAATACAATGTCCAGCCTGAGCACCGCATTATATAAAGGTCCAAAGGAAGGTGATCAAAATGGTGAGAAACCATTTTCATTTAAGAATAAGTTGAAAGAAATGAGAAGGTTTAGACTGGGAAAAAGAACTCTTGGAGTAGAGGAGGTTTGTCTTGAACATGAAGGTGGAGGAGTAGACTTGTGAGAATTATGAGAATGCAGATTCTGGTAAAATCAACAGACCTGTGATTCTATGGGAGGAGGGGGTGATCCTTCTACCAAAGTGGATCACAGACCCTCTACCTTAGGTGAGGCTCCTCCCATCTGTTTTTACATCTTCAGTCACATTTCTGGTTTGCTTCATGAAATGGTAAACACTTCAAAGGGCAAGAACCTGATTATCTATTTCTACTGTACAGAATCTGAACTATACACCTGCAGGAAGTACATGGCCCCCATTGATGTTATTAACTGACTAAACTGTTAGAATTTAGAATTGGGTTTGCAACTTAATTACAGTGTGTGAATTTTTACAGCATTCAAATTTGTTTCAGTTTTTAATGGTGCTTAATTTTGTCTTTGTATCCCCAGTGTTCAGCACAGTGCCTGCAAATAGTAATTTAGGGTTATTTAATTTTATATGTCTATATACATACATACATACATACACATATATATGTAATTTAATAAATGTTAGTTGACTTGAAAAATAGAGAAAAACCTTTGTTTCTGATTGAAAAATAATTCTGAATAATTTGTCATCTTAATGAGCACTGATTAACAAATAGAACCTCAGCCTTGAGTCATACAGAGGAGGGTTCAAGTTTTACCAGTGATATATATACTGTCCCTGTGTCCCTTGGCCAGTCACTTAACCTCTGGGTACCCTAGGCAACACCCTAAAACAAGAAATTGTAGAAAACGTACCAATGTGTTAAAAGAGCTCCCTAGGCATGGGAGCTGATGAAAACAGTTTCAGTCCAAAACCAGTAAAAATCATCAAACAAAACTGAGAGCTTTCAATGTTGGATATTTGGCACAAAGCATTAGAGGCAGGGGCTGAGAAAATATGGGCATGTTAGAAATAGTCTGGTCTCAAGCAGCTGTAAGCGTGGAGATAAAACAATAATGATCCCATTGAACACTATAAGGAAATACACAAATAGTTATTAAAATACCTGGTCCTTAAGTTTTATAAGCTCAGAGGAAAGGGAATTCATTAGGAGCAGTCAGGGAGGGGCATCAGGGAAAAACCGGATGAACTGAGTTTTGAAGGCTGGATACCACTTGGTAGGTGTACAGAGGTGTGGGGGAGACATCCCAGGCAAGGAAACCATCCTAAGGAAGGCAGGACTCCAAGTGTGAAAGGACCCTCATCTACCAGAAGACCTGAATAAGAATCCCTCTTCTGCTACAGCTTGAAGACCTCCTGAGAGAGAACTCACTGTCTCCTGAGGCAGTCCTTCCTGTTTCTAGACAGCTCTCAATGTGAGGAAATATTTCATTACATTAAACAGAAACCTGTTTTCAATATGCATTTTTCACCGACAGCTCCTAATTCTGCCCTGTGCAGACAAGCAGAACAAATCTAATCCCTCTTCAAATACTTTGAAGAAAACAATTAATCATGGTCCTTAAAATAAATAGCACTATGGGGGGAGAGGGGAGGGGAGAAGGAAGGGAGCATAAACATAGAATATGATGATCAGTAGTGAAATTACAAATAAATATCTGCATAATTTACACTAGACTATGCCAAAGTGTCCAGAAGTACCGCTTCTGTATCCAACACAAACTGAAGCATGAAAACAAACTCTATGACAAGAGCTCAGGTTTATTTCATCTTTGCATCCTCAGTACCTGACAGGGCTCTTGAATGAATTCATTAAGGACCCATGATTTATGAGTTGTGGTACTCTCTCCATTTAATAGATAATCACTCCTGGAAAACAGCACTGGCTCTGGTTCAAATCCTGCTTCTGACACCTTGGTTTACTTGACCTCCCTGGGCCTCAGCTTCCTCACCTGTAAATGACGAGGCTGGACTCGGTGCTTCTGAGGTCCCTTTCAGCTCTAAACACACGATCCGATGATCCTATAACTTAGACTTCAGGAGTTGGTAAAGGCTAAAAACTTTCTGTGGCCAACCCAGTAAAGAGCCTGCAACTGACATGAATACCAGCAAGCCTTTCCAGCGTGGCAGCTCCCGCCTATCTTACGCTTCAGGAAAAGAGGCAGCCAACAAGTCCTCTCACTGGTAAAGGCAGTTCATGTTTGTTTAACTGAATGTCTATGTACCTGTGGTAAGCATCAGGTGAAGTGGAAAAGTTCTTTGTTAAATGGTTAGGGTTTATTTACTTAATACTGATCCTTCCATTCTTCCCAGTTCTGGCAGATAAACACAGAAAATGGCAAGCCACATATGCAGTAACAGAGTTTGAAAAGAGGGATTGTGTTTAACTTTGCGCCTCAACGTTGTCGTTGTTGTTTGTTGTCCAGTAATGACCCCATGGCCATACTGTCCATGGAGTTTTCTTGGCAGATACTGAAGTGATTTGCTATTTCCTTCTCCAATGGATTAAGGCAAACAGAGGTTAAGTGATTTGCCCTCATAACTAATAAGTGTTTGAGGTCAAATTTGAACTCAGGTCTTCTTGACTCCAGATCCAGGGCTCTATCGACTGTACCACATAGCTGCTTCGACATTACTGTCCTTCTAAATTATTTTTAAGTTAAACAGACATTCTAGGTAATAGCTGTGTGCCCTATTACTTGAACACAACCATGCCCTTTTGGAGAGGAAAGGGGGATTCTGGATAGCCCTATATTGAACCTCACTCTGCCCCTACAAAAGCCTTAATGCACATCTCAGAGGCAAGTTCTTAAAAGGATCAGGAATAACATAAAGGAAGGAGCTTCCATTACTCTGATCATAAGACTGCATGCAAAGACTGGCATTCTTTTAAATGAGGAAATGGAGAAGAGAATTCCAGCTCTGTGGACAATTTATTCATTCATTTATTTATTTATTTTTAGTGAGGCAATCAGGGTTAAGTGACTTGCCCAAGGTCACACAGCTAGTACACGTCAGGTGTTTGGTCTGAGGCTGGATTTGAACTCAGGTCCTCCTGACTTCAGGGCCAGTGCTCTATGCACTGTGCCACCTAGCTGCCCCCTCTGTGGACAATTTAGAAGACAGTGTTTGACCACGTGAAGTCAACACAACTAAAAACCATACCACAAGCTAAGCAACTGCCCTTTTAGAAAAACAAAGATAAACACTTTATCAGTCAATATAATACTGTCACATAATCATATAATCTTAGAGACCACAGCATATTTGAGCTTTTAAAAACCTTAGAGAAGATAGAATGTTTGAACTGATGTGTGGGACTAAGTCCAACACCCCTAATTTTACAGACAGAGAAACTGAGTCCCAAGGAGGTTAAATGACAACTGGCTTGCTCAAACATTACTCAACTTAACTGGCAACACCTGGACTAGGATTCTAAATTTATTTAATACTGACCTATAATTTCCCACTCCCTCTCTACCCACTTTATCCAACCCCCCAAATTCTATCTGATCTCAACTGCAAAAGTGGGGGGGGGGGGTTGGGAGGAGACTGCTATCAAGGTTTTCTGCTCCTTAAGAGCTCGGACTTTGGTTTTTGTCTTTGTAAACTACCCCTTTATGCCACAGTACAGAACATAAAGTCCCTGGCATGTAGCAGGGAGTTAATAAATGCTTGTTGATGGAATGAATGATATCCTACTGAGATAAAGGTCCAAATCAGAAAGCTTACTAAATCAACACATATTTTCTCTAGGCCCACAAATTCATCCATCAGTCAAAACCTCACCCCAACTGAAAAGAGGTAAGTCTCCAGAGGTTTCAACAGAACACGTTAAAGTTCTATCAAGTCTCTCTCCACACTCCCATCATCTGGAATTGAAAATGTTTGCACATTTCACTACTCGTCCCTTTCCTTTTATGGGGAGTTCAGAAGGGAAATAAAATGCCTGATATTAAAAACAAAACATTCATTTTGGCCACAGAAAAAAAGTTTCTTTCCATTCTCCTACTACCCCCCACAAAAAAAAAGTGAGAGAAAAGTTAAAACTAAGTATGATGCATTTGAATAAGACGAGAAAAACAATTTTATTCCCTGCACCATTTTCCTTTCTCTCTGATGGTCTATCTGCTAGCCAAAAATACTTTGGAATGTCCCATTGCTTTGAACTCATCGTGGAATTTAAAATAACTCTCAATAACAATTCAAGTGGTTAAATTTTAGATAACCGGAAAAAAAAATAGTTTAAAGCCAGCTCTTCTGGAATGGACTGCACAAAAAAAGTGACTCTGGCTGATTCCACTTTGTTTTTCCAACTCAGGAAATTGAAAATGTATTGGTCCCAAGCTACAACGATTCAACGGGGGCACAGGCTCCACAGACATCTCAAAAGCAGCAGGCAGCATCAACCCATCCCTCAGGTCTCACTGGAGAATGCAGGTTAAAAGGAACATCCTCAGCAATCTATAAAAAAGTAGCTCCTTCTCATCACTAACTTGGACAGCTTACTGGAGATGACACACCGCCAAGAGCGACCTAGAAGGCCTATGCATTCTTGGACTTTGGCGTTAAGGGTAATGAACCACGAAACTCCCAGCTCCGAGAGGGTATAACACTCAGGAGTTAGCCTCCCTCCCCTCTCTGTGTTCCTACCATATGGCACTTGGGGATGCGATCTAAGAGGGCAGTTTTTAAGCAAGTCAGGTGCCAAAATTCTAACCCTCTGATTCATGCGGAGGTCACAATTCTTTTCTAACTTGTGGTGTCCGAGTTCAGAGTGCCAATCAGGCGCCTGGTCCTGGGGAAGCCCCAGTTCGCATCACGGCAGGGCTGACTCATCACACCCCTCACCGCCACCCTAGGAAGCTCCGAAGGAAAATCAGGTCCTCGCCCTGCCGGAAGGCTGGACACAGATAGGGTCACTCTCCCCGGGGAAGGGATTCAGTCCAATTTGGGGGCAAGGGAGTTTCCCAACTCCCTAGTTTTCCGAGAGCGATAGGATATTTCACGGGAGAGTGATTTGGCTGTGGTTTTACAATAATGTGTAGGGATGCCCTTTTCCTGGGTCTGTTGGGAAGGCACGACCGCCCCGAGGATCGCCAAGGAGGCTCTCGGTGCCTTTAGCCGGGCTGGAACCCGGGCGGTCCGCGCTGCGGCCGGACAGCCGGGCGGCTGGCCCCGCACTGCCAGGTGCCCCCACATCCCCCCGGCTCCCTCCCGGTCCCCGGCCCCGGAGCACTCACGGGTCCCCGCGGTCCGGCCCCCGGCCCCGACAGTGGATGGGGTTGAGCTCGTCCTCGGGGAAGGCGTGCGCCATGTAGTTGTCGTAGCCGAAGGCGAACATGCCCCGGGCCAGGTCGCGCATCTGCGCCCGCAGCTGCGGGGGGAAGGCACCGCTGTAGCGCCGCTCGTACTCGTCGCCCCCCGCGCCCCGGGCCCGGCCGCCCAACAGCGACGCCCAGTACGACTTAGGGCACACGCCCGGCGCCGGCGGCCCCGGGCCCCGCTCGGGCCGAAGCCCCCGCCCCGCCTGCGCCCGCCGCGGAGGGAGCGGCGGCGGCGGCGGGCGCGGCCCCCGGAGCCCCGGCGCCTTCAGCCAGAAGGGCTGCGCGGAGGAGGCGGCCTCGGCGCGGCCCTCGGGGCCCCTCAGGCACTGGAAGCCGAAGCTGATGGGGAAGCGCTGGTAGAAGCCCAAGCTGTGGCCCAGGCCGAAGGCGAGCCAGAGGGCTCCGTGGAGGCCGAGCCGCAGCAGCAGCAGCCCCAGGACCAGCGACTTCCATTGCATGGTGGCCCGGGCTCCGCGGGCATTCTCCCCGAGCGCGGGGCCTCCCCGCCGGCCCAGTGAGCGAGCGAGCGGCGGAGGGACGGGCGGACCGAGAGAGCGATCGAGCGGCGCAGGCAGCCGGCCACCGACCCACCGAGCCTCGAGCTGAGCCGCACGCCCGCCCGACGGCGCCGCAGCCACTTCCCCTTTAAGGGACTCCCCCGAGACGAACCAGGAACTCGGGCGCGCACGGGCGCCTGGCCCGGCCCTCTCCCAACGCCCGCCCCCCGGGGTCCGGCCCCGCCGGGGGGGAGGCGGGGCCGGCCCGGGGATTCCCTCCGGTTTCATAGGCCCGGCCGAAAGTCAGTAGCACCGGCCAGATCCCGCCCCCTTAAAGGGCAGCGCCGCCGAGAGGGCGGGGTGGAACGCGGGGACTGGGTTGTCGTGGCAAGTTGTGACCACTCGGGAACTTCCGACCAATGGCAGCCGGGCGGGTGGAGGCACGCCCCGGACTATCTGCTCCGGGCTCGGGGTGCCCGGGACGCCCCACTCAGGTTGGGTGGAGAGGCCACGACCTTAACACAGCAGCATCACCTTAGGATCAGAGGTGAAGAGGTGGAACCCCCGCAGTTTGACAGAGGAGGAAACTGAAGCCCAAAGGTCTAGTGGTTTGGCCAAGGTCATCCAGACAAGTGAAGCTTCTGAGTCGGGATTGGGTTCGCACGTGCTGCGTGCCTTCCCAAGCCGGGGATTTAAGTAGCCCTGGGAAACTCCACCCGATCCGAGACGCGCTGTCCTCGAATCTTCCCCAATCTGTCCCCATTTCACCAGTATCCTTCCCTTCGCTATTCAAGATCAGGGCCCGAGAGAATTAAACAAGACGGAGGGAGGAGGTAGGGAGGTCACACGAGGAAAGGGATACTTGGACTAGTGGAATCTGGGCAAGGCGATGAAAAATTGGGTAACTATTCTTCTCATCCAGAAGCAGGGCAGTGAACATTTCACCCTGTTCCCGTCAGCCCTTCGATGTTTAATAATAATAATCCTACTGCCCCTCCCAACTTACTCCCTCCCCCATCACCATTTCAACAATAATTACAGACAATACTTATACACCCCTTGAGATTTTGCAAAGTACAAGTTGTATCTCACATGATTCTCACATAAGCCCTGTTGTGTGGTGGTTCAATCGTTTTCACTCGTGTCCGACTCTTTGTGACCCCATTTGGGGTTTTCTTGGCAAAGATACTACTAGAGTGGTTTGCCATTTCCTTCTCTAGCTCATTTTACAGATGAGCAACTGAGACAAACAGAGTCGAGTGACTTGCCCGGGGTCACACAGCTAGTTTCTGAGGCTGGATTTGAACTCTTCTGGACTCCAGGGAGGCACTCTATCCCACTTGCTATTATTATTCCTATTTTATTGATAAGTAAAGAGAGGTTAAACGATTTGCCCAGAGCTAGAATCTGAGGCTGGATAAGAGCCCAGGTTTTCCAGACTCTAAATCCAACACTGTAACCACTGGGCCACAGACACGTCCTAGGATATGACAAAGATCTGAGATTCCATTTATCTCAGAAGAAAATTTGTGTATCACTTCAATAGCCTTCTGGCTGGTCTTCCAATCCATATCTCTCCCTCCTCTCTCTTTTCTCTCTCTCTCTCTCTCTGTCTCTCTTTCTCTTCCCTTCCCACCCCCACCCCCTCCCACCCCACTGGCTGCCCTCCAAGCACTGAATGGTCACCATCCACTCTCACTTCCACTTTTCTTGACAGCAGTGACTTTTTTTCTTTTCTTTTTTTTTTTAGGCAATTGGGGTTAAGTGACCTACCCAGGGTCACACAGCTAGTAAGTGTCAAGTGTTTGGTCTGAGACTGGATTTGGACTCAGGTCCTCCTGACGTAAGGGCCGGTGCTCAATCCACTGCGCCACCTAGCTGCCCCTGACAGCAGTGACTTTTACCTTTCTTTGTATTCCCCAGCACTGTATGCACAGTGCCAGGTACACAGTAGGCACTTAATAAATATTTATTGACTGAGACAGATACCTCTACAACTTATATCTTAGAGAGCTGCCAAAGCTCTGAAAAGTTGAGTGCCTTGTGCAGGGTCACAGAGCCCATACATATGTCAGAGACAGGAGTTGAAGGCTATCTCCATTGCAAAGCAGAAGGAAGGCACAGCAGATAAAGGGGAGGAAGAGGAAAGAAATAAGCATTTGTACAGGATTCACTATGTGCCAGGCATTGTGCTAAACTTTACAAATATCTTCATTTGAGCCTCACAACAATCCTGAGAGGGAGGTGCTATTATTGTCCCCATTTTACAGTTGAGGAAACTGAGGCAAGAAGAGGGGGCTAGCCCAGATTCACCAGGCTAGTGACTGAGGCTACATTTGAACTCCCCAAGTCTTCCTGACTCCAGATCCTGACATACTATGTGGTACTTTGCAAACCTTAAAGCACTTCATACATGTTAGCCCTAGGTCAGCTCTCCATCTGTTATGCCATGGCTGTCCCTATAAGACACTAAACTGACATCCTGGATTCAACCTTGCTGCTCTGTCATTCCTGTATCCTCCAGGCTTGTTCATCCAAATATGACTACTTAGCACCTATCGGTAGAACGAGCATTCCATTTGGAACCAAAGGGTCTGGGTTCAATTTCCCAGTTCTGCCAAGGTGCAGACTTGGGCAAGGCACTTAGTATCTCTTTATGTCTGTTTCCTTATCCATAACATGAGAAGGCTCAACTAGATGATCTATATCTAAGATGAAATATGTGAAGCTAAATACTTTTACAAACAAGAATGGAGCTCAAGAGATACAAATGATACTGATGTTAAAAGAGGCATTTAACAACACATTTATTAAGCTTTTATTTTGTGCCTGGCAGAAGGCAGCTACCTAACATGGAGGAATGCGTGCTGGACCAAGTCAGAATAGCTGCATTAACTAGCTGCATAAGCTTGGGGAAGTCAGCCTGATTCTCAAGTTTCTTTTTCAGCAGAATCAGGCTGCTGAATTCGTGTGTCCCTCAGGCCTCCTCCAGTCCTCCTTTAGGACCCACCAGGTGTAGCCACCACCCAAGGGGCCATAAAGGCTGCAGAGGATCCCTTTGGTCTCCCAGAACCCTAGCCTGAAAGCCAAAGTGGTGGTTACAAGAGGAATGATGGGGTGTGGTATCCAATACCACCCTTGGGGTCAAGGGCTCCTTTGCTACATAGGATTGGCAGTAGGGCAAAGCACATTCTTCTGTGGATTCTGTTGCAGCCATTATAATCCCATAATAAAGCATGTCTTACTAAACACCATATAAGTGCACATCACTCCCTCTAGAAACCTGGTCCTGCTGACTTATTACACATCAGAGGCCCCTGACCCTGGATTTGCAGGTTCTACCCCTGCTAGAATTACAAAGGCCAGGGTGCATCATCATACCTTTTGCTGGATGCTTTATGATGTGACTTGAACTGCAACTTAAAATTTATATAGCATCTGAGACACACAGCAGCTATATACATTAATGACACAAGGCCTATCCTCATTGGAGGGCCAAGCTCTAAACTGTATCATCATGAAAAGAGCACTGGATTTGCAATAAGAGGACCCAGCTTCAGGTTCTATTACTACTTTTGTGACTTTGGGTAAATCACTTCAGTATCTCAGGGACTTAGTTTCTTTATTTATAAAAAGATAGCAATGAATCAGTTATCTTTAAGTTCCTTCCCTATGTTTTATGCTCATTTAAAATTGAATAGCAGAAATATTTTTCACATATAATTCATAAAGGTTGGTTATTTTCCTTAAAAAAAAAAATACTACTATGTGACACAACCCTAAAGAGGTACTACCTCAGAATCTAGGTTCAAAGTCAGAAAATACTGGCTTCTGAAATTGAAGCCAACAAGAATTATTTTCTAAAATGGATTATATTAGCCATGTTATTTTACCAGGAGAGTATTATTTTACAAGAAAAGAAACTGAGACTAAGCAACTTGTCCAAGTCATCAAAAAAGGCAGAAAATGGCAAAACCAAAACTAGAACCCAAGTAGTAGTAGTAGTAGTAGTAGTAGTAGTAGTAGTAGCAGCAGCAGCAGCAGCAGCAGCTTGCATTTATTTATAGAGCACATACTACACGCCAGGCACTGGTTACAGGGACCTCATTTGGTCCTTATAACAACCCTGGGAGGTGGGTACTATTATTTCTCACCTTACAGCTGAGAAAACTGAGGCAAACAGATTAAATGATTTGCTCAACATCACAGAGCTAGTAAATGCCTGAGGCTGGACTTGAAACCAGTTCTTCCTGAATCTGGCTCAGTATTCTACCCACTGCACCACCTAGCTGCCTCTAAAAAGTCAGGTAAAGTTTTGTAGGAGAATATAGCTATAAATGCCAATCATGGAATGTATTATCCAAAGAACATACCAACTGGTGGAGCCAGAGAACCGTGGTTACTAGAGTAATATTCTCTACAATGCAGCGGCAATGACTCTGAAGGCTCTCCATTAGAGCCTAGTTCAAGTACCCTCATAAGATCATCTAATCCCTCCGGTTTAGAGCCCAGGCTCACCAAATCTCAAACAGCATGAAATTCAGCTTACCAGGAAGCTAATACCAGACCTAGGACACACCTGCTAGCCAGGGTACATCAGCGAGTAGAAAGGTATGTCCAAACTGTAAATATGTATTTGAATGCTAGTTTGATCTCATGAACTTGGGTAGCACAAAGCCATTCCTCAGAGTTTGATTATTCCCTGCAGAAAGATGAGGTCCTAAGCATATAAAAGAAAATATCCTGGATCCATGTTAACTCCATCCAGACTGTGACATCCAGAGTCTAACAGTCCTAATCATCTTAAATTCAACATACAAGGATTAAAATTCATCCAACCAGAAGAAAAGGGGATCAGCTGCTATAAAAGAAATTCTGATCAAATGAGATAAAACTGACACATTGCAAACCTTAGCACTCTTCACAAATACTAGCTATTGTTATTGTTACATTTTTTCAATTCACTGTAAAAAGTT